CAACACTATATATATATATATATATATATATATATATATATATATATATATATATATATAGTCCACGTTTATATTCTTGTCAATTAAACCCTAAAACATTGAAAAGTGATTCCGCTTTATCCATTGTACAACACGCGGCAGATTATATATTTATATAGTGTTTTATTGTGAGAAACTAGTGCAAGCCTATTGCTGGCCCACAGCCACGCGATGCAAGCGTAGCTTCTTCGTATTCCATACAATGCGATTCAGAACGACTCCTTACCTCCCATCCGATATGGGCCCTTGTTTCGTTCTGCCCAGTAGTGAGCCTGTGCCTAACTTTAACCACGTTCCCTGTATTCTGGTCTTAGCAGAGCTATTCAAATACTTCTACGAACTCTATGCACTGTAGTTCAGCGTGTCTACGTCTGCACTCACGGCGTCTCTGTTTTCCCACTTTCGGCTGAACTTTGGGCTATCACTGCCTCATCCCAATACGCACATGAATCTCTCTCCTGCTTACATATGAAGTATGACTTTGTGTAATGTTTCTGAGTGCCTATACTCTGCACCCAATCGATTAGGTTGAGGTGCGATGGGTGAGTCTGGATGCACCACATTTCAACTACATGCTGGCCTTTAATTGTACCACTGCTGTTTATTCTATAAAATAAGACCCACAGGCTAATAGCACACCTGTTTGTATCACCGCCGCCCTTTCTACTGACGGACTCTAAATCACCACTACATACTTTACACTTGCATTCATATAGCTAGATGTGTCATCTTACATTCATATAGCTAGAGGTGTCATCTTACATTCATATAGCTAGAGGTGTCATCTTACATTCATATAGCTAGAGGTGTCATCTCATATCCACCCAGCCGATTCAGCAGCCCTCTTGCTCATTGCTGCCTCGCCCAGTCACTGCATAACCTTCCAACCATCTCGCACGTTATGTCATTTGTGCTTATGTTCATCCCAATAACCGCTCATTGCCGACATCGCCAGATACACTTACACACTCCAAGTAATATACTCCGAGTAATGTAGCTAAAGGTGTAAAAGGACAGCAGGTGGTCCTCTCGCTCCCCAATGCCCTGTATCTCAACCACAGCCACACCCCCCCCTCATTTATAGCTGGTGGTGCTACAAATGCACCAGATATGACTGGTAGTCCAATCACTCCCCACTGCCCTATATCTCAACCACAGCCACACACTCCCCCTCATCTCTAGCTGGTGGTTCTATCAATGCACCTGATATGACTGGTAGTCCGATCACTCCCCACTGCCCTATATCTCAACCACAGCCACACACTCCCCCTCATCTATAGCCGGTGGTTCCATCAATGCACCTGGTATGATTGGTGGTACAATCACTCCCTACAGCCTCACACACCCAACGCGTTAATTCGCTTCCTTTCCTCGCGAACCTTTCGGTAACGGAATGAAACGCTGCACCTTGTGTGTCTCGGGGTGTTGGGTATGCCTTCGACCACAGTCACTATCACGTGCGCTTGAGCGATCCCTTTGACAGTCAACATCTTCTCCACCGCCTGCTTCACCAAAGAGGTGTCTGGTTTGTCTTCACCGTGTTCTTGTACTACATGTATACTACATCCGTGAGGGGTCTGGCGTATCTGTGTATGGTTAGGGTGTCTAGGAGTGAACATGTGCGTGAAAAAAAGCCTGCCGTACAGTACAAACAACATCGGTGTATCTGCAGAGGGTCTTGAAGAGCTGTTAGGACTAAAATCAAACCAATGACACTGAGCATCACTTTGACGAGCCGTTAGGACTAAAATCAAACCAATGGGAATGAGCATCACTTTGAATAGCTGTGAGGACTAAAATCAAACCAATGAGACTGAGCGTCACTTTGAAGAGCTGTTAGGACTAATATCAAACCAATGAGACTGAGCACCACTTTGAAGAGCTGTTAGGTCAATATCAAAACATCGAGACTGAGCATCACTTTGAAGAGCTGTGAGGACTAAAATCAAAACAATGAGACTGAGCACCACTTTGAAGAGCTGTTAGGACTAATTCCAAACCAATGAGACTGAGCACCACTTTGAAGAGCTGTTAGGACTAATATCAAACCAATGAGACTGAGCACCACTTTGAAGAGCTGTTAGGACTAATACCAAACCAATAAGTCTGAGCACCACTCTTCACATACATAAATGTAACAGTGATGGTCTGAAACCCACACCCACAAACACACACAAGCACACACACACACACACACACAAACACGCACAAGCACACACACACTCCACATCCACAAACACGCACAAGCACGCACCCACACGCACAAACACGCACAAGCACACACACATACAAACCCACAAACACGCACAAGCTCGCACCCACACCCACACCCACAAATACGCACAGGCACACACCCACACCCACACCCACAAACACGCACAGGCACACACCCACACCCACACCCACAAACACGCACAGACACACACCCACACCAACACCCACAAACACGCACAAGCACACCCACACCCACACCCACAAACACGCACAGGCATACCTGGCTTTCTGCGATGGACTTGTGTACCAGGAGGATGGAGTAGAAATAGACTGCCTGCACAAGCACACCGTCGTAGTCAAACAGAGCGTCATTGCGGCCAGCGATGGATCTGATGAAGCGAAAGGGGTGTGCGCCTGAGACGGGAGGCTCCACTATCTCGACTACATCGTCCATGAGATAGCGGATTAGAGGCTGCGCAGGAGAATCACTGTGTGGTGGTAGTCACGGGTAGATGAGTGCATGGGATGACAGTTGGTGTATGGTTAGGGGGGGGGGGGGTATGTACCTACATCACAAACATAAAACCCTAGAGCCTAACGCCGAGATATAGGCGTAGAGTGTGTTCACGAGCGGACAGAACGGAAAAAACGCACGGTTCAGGGCATGGAGGAATCTCGCAATGAAAAAGGCGGAAGTAACCATGACCTTCTAGAAAAGAAATAAGAATATAAATAGTAGGTCGAACTAACGTCCGAAGGACAAGCAACACAACGGAAGCATTGTACTATGGGTATCGGTCCCTGCATCACAGTGAGGTAGTCACTTTGCTTCAGCGTAGGCTTAAAATTCAAACCACTCGGTTGTTTAAGACTACCCAGAGATGAATACCCATCAGGAATAGATAAAGAAAACACACGGGTACAGGTACATACGTTTATATATATA